AAACAAAATTTGATTCGCCAATAATTTTTTAAATTCATAAATATTATTATCATCAGTTAGCATTTCTCCTTGAATATTTATTTTATTTGTATTATATTACGGACTTCGGATGAAAATACGGTAAATTTAATATACACAAAATAAATTTTGAAATCATCTTCTAACGATACGTGAATAATTTTTTAGGTTAAGGGGTTATCTACAGTCACGATTTTCAAAAAATCGATTTTTTTGCTGCATTTTCTTAAAGTATATATATTTGTTTGTTGTGAAAAATTTTTTTATTAAGATTCGAGAAATATTTTCGAAGTTACAGACAAAACTAGAAAGGCGCGCCGTATACATATAATGTATATTATATATATATATAATTTTCGTATACCTGAGTATGCAATTGGAATGGAAGATACATTATATGGTCCTGGAATACACGATTCAATGTAAGTATGAAAAAAAATTTTAACTCAATGTAAACTGTTTGTGAAACTTAAAATCGCTTTTTCTCAAAACTATGTTTTTCAAATCAGTGAACACGATTTCTTGAAAACTACTGAACCGATTTAGCTCTAATTTTCACACAAGCTAAATAACTATACTTTTTGCTGTCATTAATCGAAGATCTTTTAAATAAAATTAAAATTATAATTTTAATCAACATTTGAAGTCGATTTTTTTTCCATGAAAATGAATCTTTTTTTTTTCTAGAAGCTGCCATTTTGTCAAAAAGTGATATTTTTAATTCCTTCGATTAAGGACTACATTTTTCAATACAATAACAGAATCTTTTTGACTTTTTGATTTCAGATGATCCTGTCAATTGCTATTATGTTCAGCGCGGACCACTTTTTTTTCGAGGACCTTTGGGAGATTGGATATAGTGGCCAAAAAGAATAATATTTTTATAAATTAAATATATTTTTTTAAACTTAAAAACATGTAAAACAATATAGAAAAACTTCCGGTTTAATAAATAAATATTCCTTTGAAAACAAAATACCGAAAAACTGCATTTTTTTGACCGCCTGACTGTATATAACCCCTTAAGATTCATGTTAAAGTCTTATTGTAAAAAAATGATCAATGGAACATCTAAATTGTGACACTGCAGAGTATAGTAGCTTTTTTTCGTTACATGGCACGGAACTATAATATTAGAAAAGCAGGGTACAGCAAGTATCAAAAATATAAAGTTATGTCATATAAAAATTTCAGACGTTCTACTGGATTTGGATGCGCCTATTCTAAACTAACTTTCAAGTTTAAATGAAACAAAGTAAAATAAAATCCTGTTTATTTTAAGTTAGGTAAATTACACTATTCAACTTTTTTTCCACGAAACAAATGAAAACTAATAAATTTTCTCTTATAATATATATATATATATAGGTTAAAATTGTTTTAGCCATCAAAAAGGAATTGCAATATATGCAAAGAAATGTTTTTCTAAGTTATCGTTCTTTGAAGAGTGGAATTAATGGGATGTAGTCTAACAGTGCCGTTTCCTTTTCGATTATATCTTTCGTTCGCTTACATGGCGAAACATTTTCCGGTGCCAATTTGCCACAATGTGATGGATTGCTGGAACATTTGTTTTTCACTCTGAGAAATGAAAAGAAGGGAATAATTTTTCTACAAAAATTGATCCCTGCGGTTGTAAAAGTTTTTTATATAAAAAATAAAATGACAACTATTAGTAAAATAATTGTTCAACACTTTCTAGTAATAATTAATTCTTCTTCTTATGATGCTGAAACATCTTCCAATTTTTGTTTTATTTGAAAAAATTTTTTTTGAAAAGACTCTTAGAGATTACGATGAAATTCTAAATGTAATTTCCGTCGAAATGGGAAATAATCGTCAACTACCGCACCCTGCTCTAGTGAATATTTAGTGACTTTATTGATAAAATTAAAAGTTACTATAAAGTTACTAAATATTCACTAGAGCAGGGTGCGGTAGTTCTCGACAAATATTTAATTTTTAGGTTAAGTATGCAAAACTGAATTCGTTATACTTAGTTTCGAAGGGTTTATATATTCCTTCATGTCCCATTTTCGGAGAAGCTGCATTAGTTCTTTATTTAACATTTTTGGATAATAATTAATATTTACTTACTAATATATCACTGCACTTAAGAAAAATTTTCCACGGTTAACTGTCCATGTCTTTTGACGCAAAGTAAAATTGGCGTCACGACGCAATACCGGCCGGATACGGGTTTACACGCACGGACTTGCTAATCCTTAGCTGTGGCAGCTAATACTTTTCATCAAATGTAGCAAATATCTATTAGCTGCAATAGGAAATAACTTTCTGTATCCGCTAAATCGTTAGCACAACCAGCTATAATTAATTTCAGCTAATGCATATTTGCTGCTACAGCTAAATCCTTTTTCTCCGTGGAGTACTTAATCCGGATTGTTGCCTACTATTTACGGATAGTTTACATAAAAATTCTGGATTATTCTGTACCCATTGTGGATTGTAATACTTGTAAGTTAAATAAAACCAAATCATATATAGCTCAGAATTTCACCAAAAAATATTTTTTAATTACAAATAAATTGTTTTTTAATCAAATCAAAATCAGCTAATTGTGTATTTATTTCATGTCAATTTCGGTTGACTCCAGACTGATCTTGGATTTATCTTTTTATTTAGACTGATTGCTGAGTAATACGGATCATTTTCGGATTGTTTGCATATACAATTTCTAGACAAATTCGTACTGATCTCTCTGTATTTATTCTGAAATCATTCCGAAATTTTAACCAGGGATACTAAAATGCTCAACCACCTAAAAAAAAATGTTTTCATTATGATTAATAAAAATTGAAAAAGGAAAGAAAAACTCTCTATGGGCAGTCCGCCTCTTCAAAAGGAAGAATAGAAAAGAGGTAAACACTAATTATATCAGATTTCATCGGAAGATACAAAATTGAGATTGGATTGTAATTAATTCCGAGGTTGGTCCAATTTAAAATTTATTGCCATTGATGTAAATCCGCTCCTGAATATAATCCAAAAGAGGTGGAGGGAGAGGAAAGAAATCGCGGGAGAGAGCACAAATCGAATGAAGGGAAATGAGAAGCGTGGACGCGATGGGAAGAAAGAGAGATGGAAAATAAAAGAGGGATGGGCGGCAAAAGAGAAAAGAACGTTCACATATACATATATATAGTGGCTTCTTGGCTTGTGCATAAAGGTAGGAAGGAGGGAGGGGGTGATGAAGGGAGAAGAAGAAGAAGATGGTTCGGGTGCAGCAGGAGCAGCATTTACGCTATCCGAGTCCGCGCGTCCTGTTTCATCGTTCGTTGTCCCATGTGCCACGCGGTACGCGGCTTTAACGTAAAAGGGCCCGCACGAAGTGGAGGTAGAGTGTGCGCGACCAAAGGAAGATCCACGGCCCACAACAGCAGGACAGGAAGGGAGGGCAAAAGGAAAATCGAAACCTATATATGTACAAGCGGGCACGACGATTTCAGGGACACATACGAAGGATTTCCAGTGTCTTTGCCTCTGATGTCGCGGTACAGCCTAATAGTATGGACTTCCAATATCTGCGCTACCGCTAGAAATAACAATTATTTCCATTTAAACTCGTTTTTTTATTATGCAAATTATTTTATTTTTCGATTTACGAAAATTATATACGTTTTTCTTGTTACTATAAATAAAGAGAAAATTCTTTCGAAATATTTACAATTGTCCTCTTTATCCTTCATAAAATAGAATTGAAAAAAATTCTTGTAACTTCGTAATTTTCTAGACTTTAACGGTTGGTTTCCATTGCTCCCACTCGCCATTTGTCATAATTCTTGTCATCTACCGCACCCTGCTCTAGTAAAAATTTAGTGACTTTATTGTTAAAATTAAAAGTTACTATAAAGTTACTAAATTTTTACTATAGAGCAAGGTGCGGTAGTTGACGACAATTATATGATAAATGCCGAGTGGGGACAATGGAAAACAACCTAACTTTTAGAATAAAAAATCTAACTTGCAACTCGTCAACTACCACACCCTGCTCTAGTAAAACTTTAGTGATTTTATTGTTAAAATTAAAAGTTACTAAAGGTTGGTTTCCATTGCCCCCACTCGCCATTTGTCATAATTCTTGTCATCTACCGCACCCTGCTCTAGTAAAAATTTAGTGACTTTATTGTTAAAATTAAAAGTTACTATAAAGTTACTAAATTTTTACTATAGAGCAAGGTGCGGTAGTTGACGACAATTATGATAAATGGCGAGCAACTCGTCAACTACCGCACCCTGCTCTAGTAAAACTTTAGTGATTTTATTTTTAAAATTAAAAGTAACTAAAGGTTGGTTTCTATAGTCCCTACTCGCCATTTGTCATAATTCTCGTTAACTACCGCACCCTGCTCTAGTGAAAATTTAGTGACTTTATAGAAACTTTTAATTTTAACATAGAATTTCACTAAATTTTCACTAGAGCAGGGTGCAGTAGTTATAACCTATCCAGGCTTTCTTAAGGTCGTAGATTCCGAATTTGATATTAATATTTAAAAATTTCAATTTCTTTTAAAGTACCATTTTTTTGAAAGAATAAACTTATTGTCAATTTTCAGTTAAAACAAAAAATATTTATTACATTTGCATATAAATTATAATTTAAAAACTATTTTTTCAACAGAGTATCTACACCGTGAGTATACAATTTCTCTAATTGTTTAATTCTAATTCTATTGTGATAAAATTATCGATTCCATATACCCTTTTATTAAAAAAAAAGAAATTCCACTCACATAAACTTAACACTTTTAACTCTAAATATAATATATTATACAATTCTTATATTAATATTCATTGAATTATTGTTCATTTTTTGTACAAATTTTTTTTTGCGTCAAAAACTCGACGATATTTTTTTTTCTAACACTAGTGCTGCCATCTTTCGTCTTATTCAATTATTAGTCACATTTTTATAACCTAGATTTCATTGTTCTCTGGAATTGCAAAATGTTTACATGTTTTGATTTATTTTTTTTTTTTTTGGAGTTGTTTTTAATTTTTATTTTTCTCGTGTGGCAAAAACTTCACACGAGCCTCGCTTTCTCTAGAATACGCCCGCAACACACTATTAACTATTTTAAGTTTCGCTACAATTTTTTTTATATTGACATATATTTAAATGCTTCTTTTAAGTGTTTTTGCTAAATTTTTACAACTCTCTTCTGTATTAATTATTTGTATTTCTTATCACACAAAATTTTATCAAAGAAAAGTTGAAAAAAAATCATTTTATTTAAAAAATATAGATTAATTGACAATAAAAAAATTCTATACTGGTTTGTCAATGTAGACCAAATAGCCTTTTGATGAAAGAACTCCACGACACTTGAGGTGAATTTGATAACGAGCAACCCAGTGTAAATTGGCACCATTACCAAAAATTTCCATCACGGATTCTTTTGGTAATATTTCTGTAAGAAATTTTTATATAATTATAAATATTATATATATTTATATATATGATTATTTTATTTTATTTTCCAAGACATTATTTTGTGAACTTAAAATTATATTATAATATATGAAAAAAATAAAAAAGCCCAAGTATAAAAATTTCCCCATTTGCCATAATTGTCGGTTAACTACCGCACTCTGTTCTAGTGAAAATTTAGTGACTATAGTTAAAATTAAAAGTTACTATAAAGTCACTAAATTTTCACTAGAACAAGATGCGGTAGTTGATCGAGAATTATGACAAATAAAAATGTATTCTTTCAACGTTCTCGAATCAGAGCACTTTGCAAATTTCGTTCATAAATTGACAATTTTATTTATTGTTTATAAAATTGCTATTTTTAATTAAAACAATTAAAATTCTTCCTAAACATTTTGTAATGATAGTTAGAAATCCGCCGGTAAATATTATCGTAAGTCGATAAACGAATTACCGACCGCACAGCGTACCAACGTAGTACCCGATTTCGCCGCGCGAGCCGCATCGCTGAGCTCTCTCGCGTGCGCGAGGTGGGTCTTACCCACCTGACAAGGGGTTTTACCCCAAGAACCATACGCCAGGAGTTTTATTCCGAACAAGTATCGTAGAGAGTTTTACTCTCGTTCGACGGGTTTTGACCGTTGAACGTTATATCGGTCTTTAATGTATATAGTGTATAGTAACGAACTGTAAAGAAATGTAACGTAACAAATGTATAGTAACAAATTGTAAAGTAACGTAACAAAATGTATAGTAAAGTAACGTAATGTATAGTAACGAATTGTAAAGTAACGTAACAAAATGTATAGTAAAGTAACGTAATGTATAGTAACGAAATTGTAAAGTAACGTAACAAACTGTATAGTAAAGTAACGTAATGTATAGTAACGAAATTGTAAAGTAACGTAACAAAATGTATAGTAAAGTAACGTAATGTAATGTATAGTAACGAAATTGTAAAGTAACGTAACAAAATGTATAGTAACGTAATATTATATTCACGCAGTTTAAAGTAGATTTTCCGTTTTATTATCTACGTTTTTAGATATACTTAGAGTTTTACTCTTTGTTTAATTAGAACACTAGTTTTACTCGTGGTTCACCAGTATATCGCGGATTTTTAGGCGCAGTATAGTAATAGATTCCACGGTTCATCGCAGTGAGTTAAAGCCGATATCGTTTATGCGCGGCTCAAATAAGCGACGTTACCAAATTGATGCCGATTTTCGATTCCGCGGCTCAACATATTTTGGATAGATGCCGAGAAATCATTATTCGAAACCGACTTCCGCGATTCACTTGTTAATCTCCGTTAATTTTTGGACTATTGTAAATACCGTTGTAAATAAATAATTTGTTTTCAATTTGTAATTAATCCTGTTATCATTTTTGTGTTTTGAATCAAAGGAACCCTGGCTCGGCGAGGTAAATATTGATTCTATAATTACGAACGTTACAATTTTCTGAATTGTCATTGATAAGATCACATGTTAAACAGTTTTGTATTTTTTGTAGGTTATGTTTATGTAACTTGGTTAGTTTTCAGTATTCCCACTCGCCATTTGTTATAATTCTCGTCAACTACCGCACTCTGCTCTAGTAAAAATTTAGTAACTTTTAATTTTAACAATAAAGTCAGTAATTTTTTACTAGAGCAGGGTGCGTTAGTTGACAAGAATTATGGGGACAATAGGCCAACGCAGAATAGGATCACGAAAATCGTTCGCGAACGAGATGTATGAGATAGAAAAGGATGTAAATATATCTCTGTCCTGTTTTAACTCATGTTTCACGTTCGCGAACGTCTTTCGCGAAGCTATTCTGCTTTGGCCTAATGGAAACCAACCCTTGCCTCGCGTTCAAAACTAGCGGCCGTATGTATTTTACTGTAAACAATCACGTAATGTTCCTCAGATGTTTTACGCACCCAACCCTGCGTAAAATGTCAAATTTTGAAACTAGATCATGAGTATGAAAAAGATATGTATGTCCTTCTTACACTCATGATCTATTTATTTTTGACGCTTTAGGGTTAATTGAATATGCGTTATCTGATTGGATACTTTAATTATACTTGACAAATCAGATTGTTGCAGTTTCTAAGCACACAAGATAGAGAAATCTTCTGATTGGTAAAGTATATTATTTTATGCCATGCGACTCAGCCCTGCTTAGTAGCGGTATACCGTATGCGTTGGCTGTTACTTAATTGTAAAAATTTAGTCTAAACAGAATAATATATTTATATATATATTATATATATTTTTTATTTAAAAAAAGGAGAACACTAAACAAAATAAGCTGTCGAACTACTACCAGCCCCGACCCACTAAAAACCCGTCAACCCTTCTTGGGAGCCTTTTATCCACCCTCGGTACTGTCGTGAAGACTTTTGCCTTCGAGGGTGGCGCTCCTACTCTGTCGTGAAGCGACTTAGTCCAGTCCTGCGGACATCCTGCGTTATTAATTTTAAAAATAAAACGAAAATAAATGTCAAAGCGGAATTAACAGCACACCAGAAAAGAAAACAATAAAAAGTCAATAAATAAAATAAAAAGTAAAATAAAATTGTAAAAAGACAGATGAACACATAAAATATAATATAAAACTGTAAAAAGACAATAAAAACAAAATAAATAATAAAAATTAACAAAAAAATAAATAATAAATTAGTGCATGTCAATTATATATATTTAGGTTAAAATCTAATTATGTATTTTAATATATCGCTCAAATGAAATTTTCGAACTTAAGTATATTAGGATTTTATTTTCTATTTTTAAAGAACTATTTAATGCATTATAAGAAACGATTTTATTTTTCGAATTAAATTTTTTAATGCATTTTAAATAGTTCTTTAAAAATAAAATCCTAATATACTTAGGTTCGAAAATTTCATTAGAGTGAGATATTTAAAAAATTAGATTTTATTCCATATATAATTCACATATTTCACCATTACATTAAAAAAAAAAAGTTTTTGCTTTTCCAAACGTTCTAAAAATGATAAAAATGCGTTTTTTGAAACTTTAAAACCTAAATTACTCGAAAACTAGAGTCAATCCAATATTTTTTAAATCAGATACGATTTCTACGGATTTAAAAACCTATAAGAATTGGTTGTCATATATTAGGCAACATAAAATTGTTGAAATTTTCTTGTTCTGTGTAATGTTTTTTTTTAATAGTTTCTAAAATTAAAATACTTACGACATGGGTCATTATGTGTTAATAATTGAATATCATTTTCCTTGGAAAATTCTTGTAAAACAGGTGGTACAACACAGCAAGACGTTAAGTTAATTTGAATGATATTCGGTTTAACCTGAAATAAAATAATAAAATAATTTTTTTTTTATGTTTTTCATTAATCAAAAAATGTCGCACAATACTAATCGGTAGATGTACGAAATTTTATTATTAAATTATAAAATAACAGCCATTTTTTTAAACTGCGGATTTAATAATTCGATATGAGTTTTTGGCTTACATTTGCTGCTCGGAAAAATTGAATAAAAATTTCAGTGTCGACATCACTTAGTCCAACACTACAAAGTTTTCCAGCATTTTTCAATTCTTCGATAACACTCCATAGACTTTGTAAAGAAGTCAAAATATCGCCAGACTCTTCAGTATTTTTGTATGCAATCACCAAAGATTCAATTATATCCGTGTGTAAAACTCGAAAAACTGGAATTAAGATTTTTTTTTAAAATATTAAATAATTTATTTTTAAGGGGACTTTCTGGTTTAGAATTCCAAAAACATAAATTTTTTTTTTTTCTTGAAAAAGTTCCTTAGTATCATAAAATTACTGTCTCAAAACGTTCTTTAACCCTGTTGAAAATTCCTATGTGAGAACTCACAAGAGATCCTGGATGGGATCCCATATGTGTTCTCACATAGGAATTTTCAACAGGGAAAAAACTATGTAAAAAAAACAAAAGTTGTAATCAAAAATTGTGCAAAAAACTGGTGCACGGCTTTTCTTGAAATCTACTGAACCGATTTTAAAAAACTAAAAACCATTCGACGTTTATAACGTTTATCAACGAAATTTTTGTTTAAAGTTATATATTGACCCTAAATTACATATATTTATTGTAGGCGGAATATTTAAAGCATTTTTCAGATAAATATTCCGCCTATGTTAAATATGAGCCGCCGGATATTATAATTAAAATTTCTACAGCGGTATTCGTTGGCCCCTGGTACCTTAAAGATCAATTTTTAAAAATAAATTTTTTCAAATTACTATATATCTTGTAGGAAATTTTCTGGCGCACTTTATACTCATCATAATTTTTTTTTTGTATTTGTAACAGTTTTTGAGAAAAAAGCAAAAATCTAAATTTTCTCATAAAAATCACTTTAAATTAAAATTTTTACTTTAATTCGTTCTAAAATGAAAAGTTCTGAATATTTTTCCATACAATTTACAGGAGTTATAGTTTAAACCATTCTTTAAATGATCCTTAATAATAATTCTTCATTTTTTAATTAGAAAAAAAAGTTATTAATTCCTTTGAATAAAATGTTTATTGATACACAATAAAGATTACTGTAAAGTTTTATTTTAATGATAAACGTTGCGTACTTCAGCTTCGTTTCAATTCTATTAAATATTAATTATATAAACATATAATTTTCATTATTATCATTTAATATGTAATAATTTTCTAATAAATTTAAATTATTATTGATAATATTAATTTTAATTTCTTTATAACAAACAATTACATACTTAATTTGGCGCGCGTTTAACTTTGCTAGTATTAAATAATTTATTTTTAAATATTAATTTTTTCTTCTTTTTAATAATTATTTCGAATTTTTTTTAATTTCAATAAATTTAATTCAATAATTTGAACGTTTTTTTTTATGAAATTTGAAATTTTTTTATAAAAATAATTTTTATTATATTTTAAAATACATAAATTACCTTCCTCAAGTGCTTGTTTCAAAACTTCTGCTTTCGCTGTAGATATAAAAATTTTAACAGTAATTTTTAATTCCTTCCTTTCGACATTTTCGGAATCTCCTTCACCTCTTCCATTTATCTAAGAAAAATAATTTTTTTAAATTTTCGTTTCTTTTTAGAATCACAGAAAATTAAAAGGCATTAAAATAAGCTGCAACGCTTATTATTTTAATCCAATTTTGCTTATTTTAATAGCAAAATGTATTAAAATAAGCAAAATTGGATTAAAATAAGAAGCGTTGCAGCTTATTTTAATGCCTTTTAATTTTCTGTGATAAAAAAAAAATCGAAACACTTGTAGCACTTTTTACTTACTGTCGGTGAATTAGATTCACTGGATGGTGAATCTTGTAAAACTATTTTCAGTGTCTCTATTAACTGAAAACAAAATTAATTTTTCATTAATTTTTTTTTTTTGCAAACGATCTTTAAGGCTAGTATCAATAAGTTTACCCCACCAGAAATTTTTCAAATATTTAAATTTAAAATTAAAAATTTAAATTTGTATAATTTATTACTTTTAGTAAAAAATCTTATTTTATTTTAAATTATAATTATTTAATTTAGTATATGCGTTATTTTCTTTCTATATATATTTTTTTGAGTTCTTAAAATGCTGCAAATTTTCTAACCTCAAAATTTGTCTAATGTACCGTTTACTTGAAAAAAAAACAATGAATTAGTGTTAAAAGGGGAAAAAAAATATTAAAAATTAACTTACCTCATCCCTTGTACTTAGACCAGTTTTTTTCTTTAATTCATTTAAGGAAAGTATATTTCCTGTTTCAATTAAACAATTATTTGACATTTTAACGTCAAAAAATATAAAAATTCCGAGAACTTTTTCGATATATTAAATAACACTGTGAACACGATCGACTATTGTATAAACGCAATTTTTTGAAAAATGAAATAATAAAATTTTTACCTAGATATATATATATTTTTAGAAATAGTCGTGACTTGGCAGTTTTGATAAATAAATTGCTTTATAATTATAATAGTGACATAATATAATATAATAATAATTTTTAAATAATACTAGATTGTCACACAATCAGTGCGCGATTGTTAACTGATAATAATAATTGCCTATTATAGCAGACGATTGTAAATTATTTTCGCGGCGGGATTTTAAATTTTATTCTAGAATTCTATTTCACAAAAAATGTATAAGTTATTATTGATTGAAAACACAAGCTGTATAATTTTCCAAGGAAATTTTTTTTCATTATTGTATATAATTGAATACTTGGAAAAAAATATAAAAAAAAGAGTAATGTTTCTGGAGTAGGAAGATAAATGGCAACATTGTACAAAAAAATTGAGGGAAAAGCAAATTGTTTCTATATCCAATAGAATATTATTTCTATTTGAATATATATATTTTTTTTTGAATTATTTACAAATATTTATTACAAATTTATAAAATAAATTTTAAACTTAAATTGTTTTTTACGTTAAAAAAAAAAATACTTATTTAATAACGAAAAGTATATGTTATTTTAAAAGTTGCTAAGAAAATCACGTGATCAAAAACATGTGGTTGAAATTTGACAACAGCGGATTAATTTAAGGAAGAAAACAAAAATTTTTGCTTGTCACTTGATTATAAAAATTGTTAACAAAATCAAAATTTATAAAATATAAAAGAGAGCCAGTATAAAAATTTTCGATAAAAAATTAAATCTTAATAAATATGCCTGTCGATATTCCAGGATTTGCTTATGCAACTCTTGTTGCTGCCGGTGGAATTATGGGTTACGTTAAATCAAGTAAGATTTTTAAAGTGTAACTTAATTTCATGTTAAAAATTTATACAAACAATTGAAATCTTTCTTTTCTTCTAATAAAAAAATCATATTCATTGTTAATGAAAATTTGCAAGATTTTGAAAATTTTAAGGTTATGTTAACAATTTTTTTTATTGGACTAATTTTTGAATTTTGGCAATTTTTTTTTCTACATAAAATATTAAAAACCGCAAAAATCGAAAAAAAATATTAAAGAAATGTAATTTTTAGATTCGATTCCATCTTTGGGAGCGGGTTTACTTTTTGGATCATTATTAGGATTTGGAGCATATCGAATTTCTCAGGATCCAAATAATTATGCACCACTTTTAGGAACAAGTGCAGCTCTTGGTGGTATAATGGGATATCGTTTTTACAATACTGGAAAAATAATGCCCGCTGGAATGATTACATTATTAAGGTTTTAATTCTGATAAAACTTAAATTTTTTAAAATTATTTTAACATTAAAATATTTAAAGTTCATTTTTTGGGAAATATAATTTATTTTTTTTTAATTTTCAGTGCTGCAATGGTCGTGAGAATTGCAGTTATGCAATTTACAAAAACGTCTAAACTCCAATGAACTTCGATCAAATTTAAAAAATAATTTTTTTTACAAAAGACAATTTTGTTTTATTAATTTTGTTATAAAAGGATACTTTTTGTTAGTGTAGCTTTATTTACAAGGTACTTATTTGATTGTTAATTATCTTTTTTTTAAAAAAATGATTCAATATGTATAAACAAGAAACCCAGTGAAAATGGTGTTATCTTTCAAAGTGAATTAACACAATTCTTCTTTTATACGAAAAAAAAATTATTTAAATTAATTAAAATTTAAATTTCATAGCATAATTGTTTTTTTTATTAGGAACCTATAATATTCTATCTAATTTTAAGTGTCATTGAAATCAATTGTTTTTAACTTAATAATTTTAACATTTCTTATTTTAAAACGAAACATCTTCTATTATATTAAGTTAACAAATTTCCAAAAGCGACACCGACACCGTTCTTGGAAAATCTATTTTCACTTATTTTCAAATAAATCAAAATACTTTGCCATATGCTTTTCGAAAATTTTACATACTTTTTTTTGGAACATGTTTTTTCAATTTTAACCCGAAAAAGGGTTATTTTGCATTTTCATCCCAAAAAAGCGTTATTTTGCAATTTTATGCAATATTTTACGAATTTTTGTATATATACCTTTATAATTACTCTATTTTTAAAAAGTTACTTATAAACAATTTTTTATGGTTTTTTAAAATTATTTATTGTTGTTTTTTAAATTTTTAGTTAGGAACCTATAATATTGTGCCTAATTTTAAGTGTCATTGAAATCAATTGTTTTTAACTTAATAATTTTAACATTTCTTATTTTAAAACGAAACATCTTCTATTATACTAAGTTAACAAATATCCAAAAGCGAAACCGACACCGTGACCTCGACACCATTTTCGTAAAATCTATTTTCACTTATTTTCAAATAAATCAAAATACTTTGCCACATGCTTTTAGAAAATCTTACATACTTTTTTTTGTAACATGTTTTTGCAATTTTAACCCTAAAGAAAGGGCTATTTTGCAATGAGAGAATTTGATTTTTGAGAAATTGATTTCTATGGGAATTTACTTAATTTCTATATCTAAAACTGAATTTTTGCTTCTTCTGAATGTTGATTTGGATTCAGTGACTTTAATAACATAAAAATTGGATATATAAAAAAAATTAAAAATTGCGGATTTAAAATGGTGGATTTTTTCAAAAAATTGTTCGGCTTTCCTTGAAACTTGCTACTCGGGGGTTTTTTTTGGGTCGCTCAATACGAATCTGATGTTAGATTTAAAAAATAAACAATTTGAAAAAAAAAATTTGCAAAAAAACAAAATCAGAGGCATTATGCAGAATTTTATCATCTTTAAAACAAGATCAAGAACGTCAAAATCGGTTGAAATTTGTAGGCTCTATGTTAATTTATCCACGGCCGTGATTTTCGTCACACTGTACTATGTTCAAAATTGTAGAAGTTAGAGAAGGCTAAAATGTCTTGTTTCGGCATTTTTCAGAAAAAAATTTTATTTCTTTCCTTAATAACTTATAATCGTGATAATAAGAAATACAACTCGAGCAAACTTTAGCGAGCGAGGAATATATTCTTTATTAAGACATAAATCTAAAAGGGGGAAAAAAAAGTCTAGTCAAAAATTATTGTCTTTATTTCATGACTCTCTTTTTTTTATAACTAAATTTAAATCAAAAAGATGACAATGAGAGCTTAAGTAACGAATTAACGATATTTACAATTTAATATTTTCAAAATTGTAATTAAATGAGAAAAGATATATTTATTATTTAATTATAGACAAGATGATATAAAACATTCTTTCTTGGGGAATACTTTTACTTTTCGAATCTTAAAAAAAAATTTCCGTCTACGAACAAAAGCTATTTTTATACCACAAACTGAAAAATAGAAATATAACTACTGCAAAAAAAAAATAATACTCATTTTACTATTCTGAATCTTCTTCCTTGAATTTATTTTTCCTTTAGAACTTGACACAATCATGAATTTTTAAATTCATAAGTTCTAAAGGAAAAAAAAAACACTGGTTATATATGCTGAAAAGAAAAACAATTATTTAAGACTTATATATAAAAATTTATATTACCGTAATGAGTACATATTAAATTATTGACTAAGAGAATGAAACGAGAGAGATGCAAAGTGTTCTTAAAATAAAAATTATAAATAAATCCATTTTTTTTTTTATTCAGGCATCATATCGACGCTGAGACAATCTTCGCCCATATTGCTGGGTGATGTTTCTAATTCGCCAACTTCATTTGACTCACTGTAAAATTATTATTAAGAATTAGAAATTTTATTTTTTATTTGGAAAATTTTTTTTTTTTAAATTTACAAACCTGTCTAAAGAAGGATCATTGCTAAACATTTCAGTGGGAACGGTAGGTGGAGCTTTTTGAGGAACAAGTTCGAGATACGATTGTCGGGATTCTAAATGTCTCTCGACTTCTTCTGGTGTCATGTGACCATCAGAAATCAATGACATGGGCATGAGATTATTACTCGATTGCATCTAAAATTGGTAAAAAAAAACAGAACTTTCAATAATTTTACACAAAATTATATTTTATATAAACGTAAAAAAATTTTAGAATGAAAAACTAGGATTTTGAAAAAAAAATGAGACAATAAATTTTTTTCCACATACCTTACGATTGCAAGGTTGCTTTAAGGATTCGTAATTTATTGGCGGAGTATCGTAAACTTTAGGTACTTTTGGAGTGGATTTTTTCTTTTTACTCGCGCTCATTGGTTTCACTACAACTGGTGAATGATGTGAAAAATGATTGTTAACATTCACTTCCATTTTTTTCCTGTTAAAAAGAAAAAGAAGATTCAATTTTAAGAAAAATTTTAAATTACATGTTCCATACTAAAAACAAACTTCAACCTCTTCGATTTGGCTCAAATTTTTTTTCAACCATTTTGTACCCAAAAGCATTTATTAACTATCACTCCATTTACTATTCAACGTAATTATATTTATTTTCTTATCAATTTGATTCTGATTTATTTCGGTTCTGAGAAATTAATAAGTTCAAACATTTGATTGAATGATCGTAAATAAAAATGTTTCGTTATTTGGCTTGATTACCTTTTTCTATCGTTTCGAAGTAGAATATTTTTACTTTACAAGAAAAAATAAGCATTACTTAATAAAAGAAATTCAATAATTAAAATAATAAATTATTAACATCAATTATATATTAATATTTATATTTAAAATAATTGTGAAATCGTTCTGAATGAAATTAAAAAATGGTTTTTTATTAAATAACCAAAATTTTTCACCTCTTTTCAATATTCTTAAAAATACTTGCCTTTCAATTATTCTTGAATTTGTTTTACATGATTTTATTTAAAAAGTATTAAAAACCAAATTTGTAATAAAATAAAAAAAAAATTAGTCAATTTTTACAAATAACTAAGGTCAAATTCTCCTATTTCGTAAATTAATTAGCCTATCATAAACCATTTAATTTCAATTGAATTCTTCAATTTTTTTATGTTTTTGGTCAATCATTTCAATCATTCTTAACAGCTGTTCTTAGTTTTATTAAGAAAAATCCGATTTGTAATTATTAATCGCTACTTTCTGTCTTTTAAATTTTTAATATTAATTGATATTTGATGATCCTGTAATTGGTCCAAGTGACTGTTGGATTTATTTCAATAAATAAAAATAAAATAAAAAAAATTGAATTAAAATTAAAAGTATCGAAAAAAAAAATTAAAACCTTTTTGATGTATCGATTCTCGCCATTTCGTCTTCCGATGACTCGGTTTCGTCACTTTCGCTAAAGGAAGCATCGACTTTTTCATATTGAAGAAGTCGATCCAAAAGAAAACTTTTGTCTCTATTTACTTTCAAAAGTTTTCGTTGCGTTGAGCGTAATGCTTCTTGAAAGCATTCATTTTCCTGTAAAATAAATTCAATGAATAAAATCCAAATTTTTCCTAGTGAGAGCGATTTTTCTAAAATTTATTTTTACAATTTCGTAATTTTATTTATTTATTTATTTTTTTTAATTAGAAATGGAATATTTTGAAAAGAATTCTGTTAAATAGTTAATAATGGTTTATTTTTCAATTCGCCTCATATTTTGATAATTTTGTTTTGTTCAAACAAAGAAAAATATTATCAATTTGAAAAGAATTGAAAATAAAACTAAATTTTGAAAAAAAAATGATAATTATAAGCTTACGTAAATAAGAAATTTTAATTTTCGCTTAAGATTTCGATATTGATCTTTATAATTCGGTGCCTCTTCTTCCGGACTGTCTTCATCTTCATCCTCGGCATCTGCATTGTTGTTGGCAATTGAGCGACAATACCATCCTTCCAACATTGATCATCTGCAACTATTAAAAACTTTAAATAAAAAAAAAAAAAAAAATTATTTTACAAGACAATTTTTTTTGGGCAAAAATGATCGATTTATAATTCTCATCATTTCATAATTTTAATTCGAAAAAATTCTAATTCATAATTCTCACATTTAATTTTAACCCCTTTAAATTTAAATTATAAAACGAGGTTACAATTTTTTTCTCGCATCATTTGAATCCTAAAAACATACAGGGGTGGTCAAAAATAGAAAATAATCATTTTTTACCAGTTTTGAAATTAAATTTCCAAAAAATAAAAATTCTAAAATTGTCAAAAATTAAAACTTTTCTTTTGACCATCTTGTATGTTTGTAGGAGTCAAATGATGCAGGAAAAAAAAATTAATCTCCTTTAATAATTTAAATTTAAATGGGTCAAAATTGTGGATGTTACCTCCCTTTAATTTTGAAGATTACACTAAAAAAGAAAATTTATTTGATTCAAATAATCGATTATTTGGTTATTATAAAATAAATATTTACTTGGACCAAATAATTTTTGAATCAATTAAATGGTATTTGTTTCAAATACAGATATTATTGATTCAAATTCAAATTTTTCAATTTATTTAATGCAAATAAAAATTATTTGGTTCAAGTAAATATTTATTTGATAATAGTCAAGTAATCGAGTATACACTGAAAAAAAAATTTATTTGATTCAAATACTCGATTACTTGAGTATTATCAAATAAATATTTATTTGAACCAAATAATTTTTATTTGAATTAAATAAATTGTATTTGAACCAATAATTTCTGTACTTGAAACAAATACCATTTAATTGACTCAAATAATAATTATTTGATACAAATAAATATTTATTTGATAATAGTCAAGTAATCGAGTATTTGAATCAAATAAATTTTTTTT